GCTCAACTGGTTAGAGCAGTCAGCTCAACTGCTGAAGGCAATGAGCCATAAAACAGACTTTCTCCCCTCATCAGAATTCCTGGGTTTGGCAGTTCAGACGAAGCAGTTGCAGCTGAAAAAATTTTGGACTGTTTTGATCGCAGTGATTCTGATGGAATGAAAAGTTGTACATCACAAGCCCTCTTCACATACTTAGACAATGAGGTGAGTTGAAATGGATTTTTGAAAATGTTGTGAGATAACAGCTCCTTCTCGTCAATTTAAAAGAATGTTAAGTTGGCATATGAAGATAGACAATTCAAAGCAATTGCGAGTACTTTGAACAATTCACCTAAATAAACACCTCCCTGTTATAGCTTTTATTATTATCAATTATTCTTGTTATTCAACAATATTTGCTGAGCTTAGGACAAATATGGGGTAATTGGCAAGCTAGAATATGGCACACCAACTTTAGCAAAATTATTGATGCCATATGTTGCTACAGTTTGCATACCGCATAGCCAGTCTGCTTAGTGACAAACTCCTCGCCTACTTCCACGATAGGAATGTCAACATATTCTCTTCCTTTATTACAAATATCAGCTTAGGTATTTACTATGAAACAAAGCAAGAGTATAGTTTTAAGTAGACAAAGCACACTGATGAAGTTCTTGGGTTTACAGCTAATCCCAGTTTCTTTAGGATTAGACAGCTATGAATATTTCAACCCCTCCTCGGTTCAGATGCTTATCCATCGCAAGTAATCCTAAATAAATTCATTGAATTTCCATGAAAGTTTTGTGGTTCCCATCTGATATACATGGACGTAGGGATTTGAACTCTGAAATTTGAGTGTTAATTGTGCCCAGAAACTTAACACAATGATCCGACCAGGGCTTGAACCTCACTGTTCAATAGAGTCCAGTGTGCTTACCAAGAATTTATTGTCTCCATCACACAGTTTACATTTCAAGTGGAAACATTTTCTAACCCACAGATTGCCAAGCTATCTCGAAGTTTACGTGTTCCAGGTGACACAGGAGCTAAAGGATTCACAGAAAGAAGACTTGTCACAAATTTAAATCATCATCATTTGAAAACTGACATGCAGCTGTCTGCAAATCCAGTATCAAATTCCACAGGTCAAGAGAAGCCAGGCAAAGAACAAGCCATAGAAGATGAGTTAGAGGAAGGTGGGCTCTGTTAAGTTTGTGGAGGAAAGATATACCAACCATGGCCTGGAGGTGGAAAAGAATTTACAATTTTCAATCAATATATTTGCTCTGGAAATTAGGATGTGGAGATTGTTTGTGAGAATATGATCTTTAAGCAGACTTGGTATCAGGTGCAAAATCTCATAAACACCCTCAGCCTTACTAGCAGAAATTTTCTATGTTATGGAGATTTCAAACTCGACCAAGTTTTCTTTTTTTCAACTTGTTAACCAAAGGGGTAAGGTAGAAATAAATTCAGGGCTGACATAAATAGTCAGTGAAACTAATTGCTGGAAATTTAAAAACATGCCCCTTTCATATGGAAAATGTTGAAGGGAATTCTCAGAATTGGGATCTGAACTCTCATAAGGGATACTAGGTGTGAAATATAGGTTGCATGCTGTTGTTTATGCAATGGAAAACCAAAAAAAAAATAGGAAAATTCTTCTGGAAGTCAAATGTTGTAAGGTTCAAAGAGTGTGGACTTCATCATTTTCTAAAATATTTCATCACCTTATGTTTTTTTATGACTTTTTTTTTTATCCACAATGAAAATGTTGACAAACAAAAAATTTACATTACTAAACTACTATTAATTCAAAGATCTAACAAATAAAACAAAGTGACAGATATCACTTAGAATTAGATTGTGCATTGCTTACCCCTAACCCCCCAAAAAACTGGAAAATGTTTGTGCTTTTCTCTAATTGGTCATTTACAATAACTTTTGAAAGAAAAAGCTAAGCTTTATGTTTGTCATGATTATAGAAAAAAGAAATTTTTTACCTTTAAAAGCTTTGACTCTAAGAGAGTGCAGCACAGAATTCCTGCTCTACACTGTTACTTAATTATGTGCATGGACTCATTAGTGACTAATAAACTGTTAATAATAAACTGAAAAGTTAATTGATACTTGAGGTACTGGTTTAGCTACAAAGTCTATCCAAATAAAATATCTTAGATCTCAGAAATACTTAAATATCAACTTGATAATTAAAGGACCACAAAGACAGGGCTTCTGGTTCAAAATTCTGTCCTTTAATAATTAATGACACTACTACAAGGGAAATTATGTAGATTTGAAGAGAAAACTGAGAGTGCAGTCCCCTTCCTCAACCATCTACATGTTGCAACAGTAAATACTGTTTGGTAATTTCATGTCATCTCCCGCAAACAGACTTGCTACTAAAAATTGTCTCTAACTTTTTTCAATATTGTTTCCAAAAACAAATTATTGCTTTCATAGAATATCAAAAAAGGTAAAGCATCCTTAGCCCTACTTAAGCATCCCTAGGCTTACTTAGCCGTCTCAAGCCATCCTTAGCCGTCCTTAAGCATCCCTAGCTGTACTTAGCCGTCCTTAAGCATCCTTAGCCACCCTTAGCCGTCCTTCAGCATCGCTAGCCATCCTTAGCCGTCCTTAAGTATCCCTAGCCATCCTTAGCCGTACTTAAGCATCTCTATCCTTCCTTAGCCGTACTTAAGCATCCCTAGCCAACCTTAGTCGTACTTAAGTGTCCCTAGCTATCCTTAGCCGTCCTTAAGTATCCCTAGCTATCCCTAGCCGTCCTTAAGTATCCTTAGCCATCTTTAGCCGTCCTTAAGCATCCCTAGCTATCCCTAGCCGTCCTTAAGCATCCCTAGCCATCCTTAG